TCTCGTGTTAAGTTGAACAATTTCCCATTAAAAATAAATAAATAAATAAAAATTTTCCAGTTGCCAATACTAAAAGAGAGGGTAGATACCATGAAATTCCCTCTCATGGCCAGAGATCCTGACTTCCTGTACCGCAGCTTTATTTACTTTTTAAAATATAACGGTCATGCATACATCGATTGCACTCCCTGATGGTATAGCTCAGGAAATAACGAAGCTATACGTACCTCATTCGAACTGTGTGGCTAGCTGGCTTTCTTCCCCAAATAAGATGACCCACCACTTTTTAATTTTTACTTTTAAAATATATGTTATTGATTTTTTACAGAGAGGAGGGAGAAGGATAGAGAGCTAGAAACATAGATGAGAGAGGAACATTGATCAGCTGCCTCCTGCACCCCCCTACCTTCCCCCCACTAGAGATGTGCCCGCAACCAAGGTCCATGCCCTTGACCGGAATCGAACCTGGGACCCTTGAGTCCGCAGGCCGACGCTCTATCCACTGAGCCACACCGGTCAGGGCTATCCCCATCTCTTTTTGAGAAAGCTAAGGTCTGAGGGGTTACGTTGAGGAAATGACGGTGGTCCCAGAGGCGGGCCCAGGCGGGAAGGATGTTATAAAAAACCACGTTGAACCTCTCCAAGCGCCTTCTCGTCCGTATCAAGTTCTTCGGATGGCCCCCTGGTCCTTTGGAGCTTCTAACGCCCGGGTGTCTGTTGCAGCCCAGAGCAAGGTGGCTGGCAGCCAGGACAGCACTAATTTGGGATGTATGTTCTGTGGTAAGCTACGTTCTGTTTACATTCCTCTTCCCACGCCGTGCTTACATACTGATCGCACATCTCCATCCCTTTTCCTTCCCGAGAGCCATGGCTGGCTTTGTAGTTTCTGGGGAAATGCAGCCAGCTCCCTTTTTCTGTTGTTGTTTTTTCTTCATGTCATGATATTTGTTGTGGTTCACTTAGGCTATTTGGTCAGGTTTTGTTTTTAAAAAAATATATATTTTATTGATTTTCTACAGAGAGGAAGAGAGAGGGAGAGAGAGTTAGAAACACCGATGAGAGAGTCATCCATCAGCTGCCTCCTGCACACCCCCCACTGGGGATGTGCCCGCTACCAAGGTCCATGCCCTTGACCAGAATCGAACCTGGGACCTTTCAGTCCGCAGGCTGATGCTCTATCCACTGAGCCAAACCGGTGTCGGCTCCGGTCAGCTTTTGAATTGGCATCCCTGAGTAGCAAGGATTTATTTAGAATCGGGATCTTAAAGCTTCACTCCAACGAGAGTGGTTTTTTTTTGTTTATTTGTTTGTTTTTTCGTTTTCATTGTTAACTGTTTCGTTGGAGAGCTGTCTTTTCATTTGGGATGTAAGGGGGGAATGACATCCATCTTCCTATGGTTTGGGGGATGTCCACGTGCCTTCTGGGGAGGGAGCTTCTGCTGAACTTGAGTTTGTAAGGTGTGCAGGTTACCAGGCCAGGCGGATTTCTGACCCAGCGGCCTCCTTTTATTGGGTAGGGTAGGTATTTGTGGCTTAGGCGTGAGTTTAGGCGTTATGGGGCGCTTTCCGTCCCTCTCCTGTTCACAAGTGTGTGCATATATGTATACGTCACGTAGCCAACCCGAATTCCAGTTCATCAGATACACGCATATCCTTATCCTTACCCAGGCTGTATCTACACACACACACACACACACACACACACACACACACTTGTCTCACTTTTTTTTTTATCCTCATTTGATTCTAAAAACTTTCAGAAGGCAACTTTCAAATTTTAGAGCTTGCTTTTTTTTTTTTTTGACTTCTGTATACCTGGCCAGATTTTTAAACGAGAAATTATAAAATGATACACTGCTAAGTTTTTATACCAACAGTTCAACTGTGCACATAGGTACTTTACCCATGTGACTCAAAGTTTTTGATGCGATTCTCAGTATTCCTGGCATTGTTTCTTTACTCATGAAGAGAATCATTTTAAAATTTACTACGTATTTGTGCTGGTTTTGGCCAAGAAACGTGTGTCATGAATTTCCAAAAATGAAAAAAAATTCAAGTGTGTTTCTTGTTATATATTTTTAAAATATATATATATGTTATTGATTTTTTTACAGAGAGGAAGGGAGAGGGATAGAGAGTTAGAAACATCGATGAGAGAGAAACATTGACCAGCTGCCTCCTGCACACCCCTTAACTGGGGATGTGTCCGCAACCAAGGTACATGCCTTTGACCGGAATCAAACTTGAGACCGTGGAGTCCGCTCTATCCACTGAGCCAAACCGGTCAGGGCTCCTGTTATATTTAATGATAGGCCTGTTTGGCTCTTTATAAATCCCCCCATTTCCCCTCAGAATCCACAGTTATTGCAGATTAAGTTTCATCAATAACTTTAAAGTCTGAATTTTCTCTGCCTCCTCTGGATTTCTCCCAGGCCCTCTTTTGAATAAGCCATGGACGATTATTCCTATTTGTGTTTTTAGGACTTTAGTCTTTCTGGAAAACCTACTCGATGTTCTGTACTTGCTACTGAGTATGTTGAGTTCCCCCTGCAGAATAATAGAAAATAGTGCATTTTACCCAGTTGCAGACAGAGGATTGATCTAGCCTTAATGGACGTTGGTTTTTGTTTTTAAGTTGTAAAATCATGTGTTAAAAAGCAGATTTCATCCCCATTATTAACTTGAATTGTTACAAACAATATAATTTTTGTTTGGCTAAGCTTAAACTCAATTGTATTGTGTATAATCACACCTATTTGTCTTGTGGCCCTGCGTTTTGAAGTAAGCTGTGGCTAAGTGTGAGATGATATTCGTGAAAATGAAAATGGTGTAGTGAGTACAATGTGCTTTTAGCCAGAACTCCGTATCGAAGTCAAGGCTGAACTGCCATTCATTCGTTCCTGGCTCAGAGAGAGGATTTTGCTCTGACTTCCATCATTCGTACAATACCATTTCAGCGACACGGACACCTTTTCTTTATTAGAAATCGTAATTCACACGCTTTGCTATATGAATTCTAGCCAGGAAAAAATTAAGATCAACCATTGAGGTTTGGACGGTGGTAATAAGAGAGAAAACTAACCCTCAAATAGCTATTTTTTTATGATAATATTAGAGGCCTGGTGCACGAAATTCGTGCACTGGGGAGGGGGGGGAAGGGGGGTGTCCCTCAGCCCAGTCTGCACCCTCTCCAGTCTGGGGTCCCTTTCACAATCCAGGACTGCTGGCTCCCAACTGCTCATCTCCCTGCCTGCCAGCTTGATCACCCCCTAACCAATCCCCTGCCAGCCTGATCAATGCCTAACTGCTCCCCTGCCAGCCTGGTCGCCCCTAACTGCCCTCCCCTGCTGGCCATGTTGTGGTGGCCATCTTGAGCGAGGGCATGAGGGTCAGTTTGCATATTACCTCTATTATTATATAGGATCGTAGGAACGAGCAATGATCTCTCTGTTCTCTCTCTTTTTTTTTTTTTTTTTTCCCCAAAAGAGAACTGTTAACCCACACATGATGCGCCTAACACATTGTCCTTTGCCCACTGGTTAGGGAGGGACCTTGTCTGCAGTCTGGGGGGGGGGACACAGACCCCCCATGTAGGAATATTGTGCAGGAAGTGATGGTTATGTTCCAGGAAAGAAATACAGGCTGGGCGAGGAGGTGAGATGCCGTTGTGTACCTGAAGTTCGTCACTCACCTGGAACTCTCTTATCTCATGCCGATGACGTATTTATACCATTTCTAAGCGCGATTGGGGCTTGACAATATTGATGATGAGGAAGCAAACCCAACCCCCCAGATGGAGTATAGATATGGGGAAATGGCAAGGAGAACCCTTACCCTCTCCTGCCCCCCCATAAAAATGTGTGTTAAGGAGAGGAGGAAAAAATAAGTAGGTAAGTTCAGATCCAATTATTGTGGGTTGTTTTTTTTTAGAATTTATTATTATGTATGACGTTTGAATGAGCCTCGTTCTCCTGGTTGGGAAGTTTACTCCCCTAGTATAAAATACTTCGTGCTGTGACTTCGTATATGATAAGCGTTTACTTGAGAAGCACTTATTAACTTTTTTTTTTTTTTTTTTTTTTTTAATACTAGTTGTTTCCAAAACACTTTTACAACACCTGCTTAGGGGTGCTTGCTGGCACACGAGCTCATAGACATGTACAGCATGTCATTACCCATATATGTCTCCCCAAGAGTGGAAGATAGACTGCTTCTTGATTCTCTTGTTGAATGGATTCGATCTCAAAAGGGGTCTGTTGTAACCCTCGGCATTTATCTCATGTTGTGGCACATTTGGACAGAGACATGAAAACGTCCCGTAATTTAGTGGCATTCTTGACCGGATGCTAACCATAGGTCTGCCCCGTCCATGACAAGGAAGGATGGATGGCCATTACGGTTTCTCATGGCAGAAGCATGCGGATTCGAATGTGGGGCTGGCTCGTGTTTTTGTTGTTTTGTTTTGTTTTTGTTTTTTTAAACACCCCAGCTGAAAAGTGTGATGACCTCTGTTGCATTAAACATCCTGACAAATAGGTTAATTATATATTAAGCTTAGCCAATGTTTTGTTTTCATTTATTTTATTTTATTTATTTTTTAATTTTTATTTTTTAATATATTTTGTTGATTTTTTACAGAGAGGAAGGGAGAGAGATAGAGAGCTAGAAACGTCGATGAGAGAGAGTCATCGATCAGCTGCCTCTTGCACAGCCCCCACTGGGGATGTGCCCGCAACCAATGTACATGCCCTTGACCGGAATCGAACCTGGGACCTTCCAGTCCGCAGATCGACGCTCTACCATTGAGCCAAACCGGTTTCGGCATCATTTATTTTATTTCATTATTTTATTTTTTACCGGTGCTCAATGCCAGGCCATTAAAACGAGAAGGGTCGCTTTTACTGAGCACGCTTTATAACTGCGCTAGTCTGTATCCGTCTAGTAAGAAGGTTCTCACACGCTCTCTCTCTCTCTCTCTCTCTCCTGTTTTTCATTTCCAGTGTTCTATTTAGGTGAGTTTTGAATTCTGATTTTTCATTTTTTTTTTTTGAGTTCTCCACTTCATGAGCCGCTCCTCCTGGGAGAACGTGTCATTGTCTTCGAAATGTCAAGCTAAGACGCCTACCCAGCTGCCCATTGAACTTGGCTCTCCTCCGGCTCTTCATATATAAATGTCCATTTCCCCATTCATCGTTTCAAAGCAAGGCTTTGGGTGTGGTGACAGAATGACGTTTGCAGTCTCCCATTGGCTGTTGTGTGATGGGAAGCTTATGCCTTATTTTGCTAAGCAACAAGAAGACGCATCTGTAGATATGTGACAGCTTTTGTGTTATTCTCATGCTTTTGCCTCTAGCCTGATAACTACTGAGATAATATTTACCTATAATGTGGTGTTCCCCCCCCCCCTTTTTTAGGGCCAACATTGCCTAGACAGAATTCACAACTACCTGCCCAAGTGCAAAATGGCCCGTCCCAAGAAGAATTGGAAATTCAAAGGAGGTAAGTTTTTACCAGTTCTTGTGTATGCTTTTTCATTCGACTGTGTAGAATTTTCGCTAAAAATCCATGAAACTCCAAACATCCTCATCTTAAAAACCGATGATCTCTCATTAGTCACTTGGAAGTCAAAGATTTTATCGTTACATCATTCATTTTTGTAGTCACCAACGAAGAGAAGATTCTTATTATTCTGGACAACAGGTGTTAAGATAGTTATAATTTCCTATCCACTTCATTGTCAACGTCATACTCGTGTGGGTTTAAATATTTTACACCGCGTGAGCATGTCTTTGCACCTCCGAGAATCTGACTTTTAAAGTAGTTGTAAATTAATTTGTGGCTTTCACGGGACTAAGTGAACTAGAAAGTTGAAACAGTGCTGGCCATTGGTAGAAGGCATTGAACTTGAGAGGCTACCATTGGCTGTGGCAGTGGGATAGAAAGCCACATTGTGTTTATGATGAAACTGCCGGTGGAGTGAGATCCATAACGTGATCCTCACTATTTCAGTGCAGTTTTTAAAATACACTAGAAAGAGTGAGCAGAACTGCTGAACGGTAAGCTGTTTTATAACAAAGTAGTCTTCTGGGATTCAGGTAGAGTCGGTGAGTGAAGCTGAGCTAGTCGAACCACGTCCCATTATTTTATTTTATTTTTTAATATATTTTATTGATTTTTTACAGAGAGGAAGGGAGAGGGGGAGAGAGTTAGAAACATCGATGATGACAAAGAATCATTGATCCGCTGCCTCCTGCACCCCCATTCCTGGGGATCTAGCCCACAATCAGGGCATGTGTCCTTGATCGGAATCAAACCCAAGACCCTTTAGTCCGCAGGCTGACGCTCTATCCACTGAGCCACACCCGCTAGGGCGCATATGGAGAGTTTTACACGTATCAGAATAATTCCAAGAGTTAGGAACACATAGACACATAGCTACACACCACATACTATACACCACAGATACCACACACACACACACACACACACACACGTACACGTACACATACCCACACACCCACATACCACACACACACGTGCATACACACACACACACACACACACACACGGACACATACCCACACACCACACACACCCACATACCACACACCACATGCGCATACACACTCACACACACACACACACACCAAAAAAGCAATGAATAAAACATGATAGTCATTAAAACATTTAGAAAACTCGGAAGAGCCCAAACCATAAAATACATAATTTCGGTTAAGAGGCCGTGGCAAGCCGGTAATCGGAGCCAGTGGCTCAGGCCAGGGCGATGTGGGGTAGAAACAGACACCTCGGAGGACGGCTGGCTCCCGGGGTCACAGGTGGGTGATCCCCGCGCGGAGGGCTGCCTGCCAGGAGCCTGCGGCCTGCGGTCTTAGCTGGACGTGAGCATCGGTGTGGTCCTAGGTGTTGCTATGGAAACCCCGTGCCTCTTAGATGTCCTGTCTCCAGCAGCTCTCGTCTGGGCTTCGGGCTTTTCTGTTCCTGTGTAAGTCGATCCCTGAGGGTTTGAGAATCAGAGATGCTGTGTGTGTCACCTGCTGGTCCCCCCGGAGCGTGGTCCTTGTGAAGAGTGAAGTCCGCCTTTCTGAAAAATGGGTGTGGGTTTTTTTCTAAGTTACTCTCTGTCCACAGACTCTCCCTCCTTGTAGGCAACCCTTCCAGACCAGTGTATCTCCCTCTCCATTCTCGTTTCTTCTCGACTCCTTCACTCTCCACCCATCTCCTTTTTAATCTCTTTTTAAAAAATATATTTTATTGATTTTTTTACACAGAGGAAGGGAGAGGGATAGAGAGCTAGAAACATCGATGAGAGAGAATCATCAATCAGCTACCTCCGGCACACCCACCACTGGGGATGTGCCCGCAACCAAGGTACATGCCCTTGCCCGGAATCGAACTTGGGACCCTTCAGTCCACAGGCCATCGCTCTATCCAATCTTTTGTGTCTCCCACCAATCTACGGGACATGCTGCTTCCCTTATAGGTTAAATTTTCTGCCTTTTCCCAATACTTCGGTGTCTTCTTTTTGCTAATTCTTCTCCCTTTCTATTCTTTGCTGTACTTCTTCTTTTTTAAAAACTTGCACAAGATTTTTATTTAAATTTGTTACCTCTCTTTTTCTATATACATGAGGCGTTGCACTTAGCTCTCCTTTCTCTCCCTGGACACAGTATACCCTTTGAAAAATTAATGATTGGGTTGGATGTGGTAGTTCTCTCTTAACTCTTTTATGCTGGTGGCTGCCAGACCTCTAGCTCCCGCTGTGATCCTGCACGTGAGGTCCAGACCCGTGTTTGCCGCTAAATGCCGAAGGCGTGGGTCCTTAGGAGAATTTGGTGAAAGCGGGAGACTCCTGCCCTCTTCTGTCCAGTCCCCAACCCTTCCTGTGTGTGTGTGTGTGTGTGTGTGTGTGTGTGCGCGCGCGCGCGCGCGTGTGTGAATTCTCTTCCAGCGGTGAGAATTCCTACTTGGAACTTATCTGTTTGGGTTCCTACTGACACCTCAATTTAACACTTACAATTTCGTTCTTTTTAAAAAAATATATTTTATTGATTTTTTTTTTTTTACAGAGAGGAAGGGAGAGGGATAGAGAGTTAGAAACATCAATGAGAGAGAGAGAGACCTGGATCAGCTGCCTCCTGCACACCCCCTACTGGGGATGTGCCCGCAACCAAGGTCCATGCCCTTGACCGGAATCGAACCTGGGACCTTTCAGTTCGCAGGCCGACGCTCTATCCACCGAGCCACACTGGCCAGGGCTGCCCATCCCTTTTCAGTAGTAACGCTACGATCGCACCGTTCAGTTTCCTGCTCCTCTGCATGTGATTTCTAATGCCCGTTTTTGATTCCTGCTCCTTCATATTGGGCGTCCTTGGCTGACTGTGGCGAAGAGGCATATTCTGAGACACGTGAGTCAGTTCTGTGTCAGGCTCCGCGCACAACTTCATTGAGTTCATGCCTATAAATAGCTCGCCCGTCACCCCCGCTACCTGCACGTTATAAAAGGGGGGAGCGGCGATCCCCGCCCAGATGCAGCAGGGAAGCCGGAGCCATGAAGGTGTACAGGTCCCAGTTTAGCCTTCAGAGGCAGGATGGACCCAGAGTCGACCGCCTTCTCTTGTAAGTGTGGTCCCTCGTCCCTTGTCCCGGGAGCTTTCTAATACCAAAGCGTAACTTTCTCATTTATATTATCTTTTTCCGACCTGTTAGGGTGGAGGGGGGGAGGCGGGGAGATGTTGATTGCACGCGCTCCATCCCTTTGTGTTTGAGTCAGGAATGAAGGGCAGCCCTGGCCAGTTTGGTTCAGTGGATAGCACATCTGCTCGTGGGCTGAGGGCTCCCGGATTCTATTCCGGCCAAGGGCATATGCCTGGGGGGTGTGGGCTTGGGAGGCAGCCGATCAACGATTCTCTCTCATCGATGTTTTTCTCTCTCTCTCTAAAATCAATACAAAATAATTTTTTAAAAAAAAGAAGAAACGAAGTGCACATCAGGTTCATTGCAAAAGAAATAGGATTTTCATGAGTCGCCATAGATGCCTGTTTTATTTTTTAATTTTATTTATTTATTGATTAAGATATCACATATTTGTCCTCAACCCCCCATTCCAGTCTCCCCCACACACGCACACTGATGCCCCCCCCCCCATTGTCCTTGACCACTGGTTAGGCTCCTATGGGTGCACACAAGTCCTTTGGTGGATCTCTCCCTTTTATCCCCACCCTCCCTCTGAGGTCCGACAGTCTGGCCCATGGCTCCTTGTCTCTGGGTCTGCTCTTGTACATCCGTCTGTGTTGTTCACCATTTCCCCCGGATGAGTGAGATCATGTCCTACTGGAGATATACTTATAAGAATCAAAAATGAGACAAGCCATAATCGTTATGCTGAAAGGCATATGAATCCGTCTGTAGTGAGCTTCTTTCTGAGCCACCAGTTCTTTTGAGACCCGATTTCAATGTCAAACAGCTCCTTACGTGTGCATGTCAGCATGTATGCAGTTCTGGATGGTGGGCAAACGGTGGTGACGCAGGTCCGACCCTCCCTCTAGACGCCTGTTTTAAAATAGTGCTTTATTTTATTTCTTGATCTCAGGCAACTTCAAGAGCAGCAGCGGCAGAAGGAGCTGGAGCGGGAGAGGCTGGAGCGAGAGAGGATGGAGAGGGAGAGGTCCGAGCGGGAGCGGCTGGAGAGGGAGCGGCTGGAGCAGGAGCAGCTGGAGAGAGAGAGACAAGAGCGGGAGCGGCAGGAGCGGCTGGACAGGCTGGACCGCGAGCGCCAGGAGCAGCGGGAGCGCCAGGAGCAGCTGGAGAGGGAGCAGCAGCTCGAGTGGGAGCAGCGGGAGCGGAGAGTCACCGGTAAGACGCCCGTGCTCTTGGCCTTGCTCTCTGAGCGTGGACGGCGGGTGGGGGATGCCAGTGGGTGGGTGTTGGAATATGGGGCGCTCGGGGTGCTCGGGATGAAGCCGCGAGGTTGGGAATTAGGAAACATACCCGGTGGCTGCTTCCCCATTTTCCTCTTTATTCCTCTCTGCTGCTTTTTTTTTGCTTTGGAGCCTTAAAGAAAGCTCTTGGAAATCTGCATCCTGGCGTTCGAATTCTTCCAACTCCCCCATCCGTTGCCCATAAAGTAGAAGTGTTGTTTTTTTTGTTTTTTTTTTACGATATATTTTATTGATTTTTTTTTACAGAGAGGAAGGGATAGAGAGTTAGAAACATCGATCAGCTGCCTCCTGCACACCCCCTACTGGGGATATGCCCGCAACCCAGGCACATGCCCTTGCCCGGAATCGAACCTAGGACCTTTCCGTCCGTAGGCTGACGCCCTATCCACTGAGCCAAACCGGTTTTGGTCAGAAGTGTTTCTTATGAAATTTTTTATAGCGGGGAGAGCGTGGCCTATATATCCCTCTCGGGGTCACTTACATGGGCTCCGATGCTTTAGGATTTCAGTGCCGTTCAGCACGAATGTATTCCTAAGGCTCTGAGGGAGGAATGAAAAGCAGTAGGCGGGAAAGAATCCTCTCTCCAACGGCTAGTTAGGTTTCAGTATTTTTTTTTTTTTAAATATATATTTTATTGATTTTTTACAGAGAGGAAGGGAGAGAGAGAGGTAGAAACGTTGATGAGAGAGAAACATCCATCAGCTGCCTCCTGCACACTCCCTACTGGGGATGTGCCTGCAACCCAGGCACATGCCCTTGACTGGAATCGAACCTGGGACCCTTCAGTCCGCAGGCTGACACTCCATCCACTGAGCCAAACCGGTTTTGGCCAAAAATCAGGACTTTTTTTTTTAAAAAAAAAACGCCGCGGGACTCAGGACAAATTGTTAAAAATCGGGACTGTCCCGCCAAAAGCGGGACATCTGGTCGCCTTATTTAAAAAGGAACAAACAGCTGAAACCGGTGTGGCTCAGTGGATAGAGCGTCGGCCTGCGGACTGAAAGGTCCCAGATTCGATTCCGGTCAAGGGCATGGACCTTGGTTGCGGGCACACATCCCCAGTAGGGGGTGTGCAAGAGGCAGCTGATTGATCTCTCATCGATGTTTCTAACTCTCCCTCTCCGTTCCTCTCTGTAAAAAATCAATAAAATATATTTTAAAAAATAAATAAAATAAAATAGAAACAAACAAACAAACAAACAAAAAAGCCAGTTGAACTTATTTATCTGTTTATGGTCCTTCCTTGTCCAATCTTAACGCCCCTTTTGGAGGACCGAGGAAGGAGAAGGCAGAAGGCAGGGGCTGAGTTTCCCTTGTGAAGGGCGGGCTCACCCCGGCTTAGTGCCTCCGCCTGCTAAAAACCGTTATCTCCCCTCCTCCGGGGCCCAGGAGGGGGGCGGGGGGGGACAGCCTCCCGCGCCCCGCGCCTCTGTTCTGACTGAAGTCTACTTGTGTGTGTACACCGTGTCCGGGTGCTGGTTTTGTGGCTTCACTGGCTCCTTTTTCTCTCTCCTCTCTGGTCCTGTCTCTCGCTGCCGCTCTGCCCACCTCTGTCCAGCGCCTCCTTCCGACAGCTCCTCCCCGCATGGCGGGCCACCTCCTCCCGACGGGGCCAGTGGCCAGCCTCCTCCTCCGGCACCTCCTCCTCCGCCCGGGGCCACTCCTGAGTACCCCGGAGTGGCCGCTCCGCCGCCCGCCCCCGCCCCCCCCCACCCCGCCCCTGCGCCACCCGGCCGCCACCCGCTTCGCCACCTCCCTTGGGTCCGCCTTCCACCCCGTCCTGCCCCACTACGCCACGGCCCCGCGCCCCCTGGGCAAACACGCGCAGCCTTCCTCTCCCGGGGGCGGCTCCCCCTCCTCCTCTCAGCCCCCGGCCGCCCCCGCCAAGCCCTGTGGCTGGTCCGCGTCCAGCTTCTCGCCCCTGCCCCCGTCCCCCCCGGTCATGATCAGCAGCCCCCCGGGCCGAGCGGCCGGTCCCCGGCCCGTCCTCCCCGGGTGCCTGTCCTCGCCGATGCCCCCGTCCCCGACGGACCCGGCCCCCCGCCCCGCGTCCCCGCCGCCTGCCCCGGGGCCAGTGCCTCCGCCGCCCCTCCTGGCTCCGCTGTCACTCTGCGGACCGCCCGCCTCGCCGCCGCCGCCGCCTCCGAGCGCCCCTGTCGCCTCGCCCCCCTCGTCCAAGCCTAGCGTTCTCCCTTCTCCCTCTGCAGCTGCCCCCGCCTCTGCGGAGACCCCTCTAAACTCTGTGCTGGGAGACTCCTCTGCTTCTGAGCAGCGAGGCTTGCAGACAGCCTCTCAGCCGGCCGAGACGCCAGCCCCACCGGGTAAGGCCCCCCCCCCCGCGCTCGCTGCCAACCGCTGGGACCGCCCGCCCAGCGGGCTGGGGAGGGGGGTGTTGATCGTGGCCAGGGCACCATCGCTGTGGGCCAGGGCACCATCGCTGTAGGCCAGAGTATTGTTCCTATAGACCAGGGCACCATCGCTGTGGGCCAGAGTATCGTTCCTATAGACAAGAGCACCATCACTGTAGGCCATGGCACCATCGCTGTGGGCCAGGGCACCATTGCTGTAGGCCAGGGCACCATCGCTGTGGGCCAGGGCACCATCGCTGTAGGCCAGGGCACCATTGCTGTAGGCCAGGGCACCATCGCTGTAGGCCAGGGCATCATCGCCGTAGGCCAGAGTACCATTGCACCATCGCTGTGGGCCAGGGCACCATCGCTGTAGACCAGGGCACCATCGCTGTAGGCCAGGGCACCATCGCTGTGGGCCAGGGCACCATCGCTGTGGGCCAGGGCACCATCGCTGTGGGCCAGGGCACCATCGCTGTAGGCCAGGGCACCATCGCTGTGGGCCAGGGCACCATCGCTGTGGGCCAGGGCACCATCGCTGTGGGCCAGGGCACCATCGCTGTGGGCCAGGGCACCATCGCTGTGGGCCAGAGTATCATTGCACCATCGCTGTGGGCCAGGGCACCATCGCTGTGGGCCAGAGGACCATCGCTGTAGGCCAGGGCACCATCGCTGTGGGCCAGGGCACCATCGCTGTGGGCCAGAGGACCATCGCTGTAGGCCAGGGCACCATCGCCGTAGGCCAGGGCACCATTGCTGTAGGCCAGAGTATCGTTCCTATAGACAAGAGCACCATCACTGTAGGCCAGAGGACCATCGCTGTGGGCCAGGGCACCATCGCTGTGGGCCAGGGCACCATTGCTGTAGGCCAGAGTATCGTTCCTATAGACAAGAGCACCATCACTGTAGGCCAGAGGACCATCGCTGTGGGCCAGGGCACCATCGCCGTGGGCCAGGGCACCATCGCTGTGGGCCAGGGCACCATCGCTGTGGGCCAGGGCACCATTGCTGTAGGCCAGGGCACCATCGCTGTAGGCCAGGGCACCATCACTGTGGGCCAGGGCACCATCGCTGTAGACCAGGGCACCATCGCTGTAGGCCAGAGTACCATCACTCTAGGTCAGAGTACGCATGTAAAGTGGCTTTGTGTTCTGTCGGGTGAATTGCCTGTGGAGGACCCGCCTGCGGGATGCCCTTGCTGAACTAGCCGTTGACATCGTCAGCGGGACCGCACTTTGCCAGGGTCTAAGGGCCTCCTCCACGCACTGCTTTTCTGTTTCACCCAGAAAGCACTGCAGGCCACGCCGGCGGGCGGTACACAGTCGCCGTGTGACCTGCCTCGAGTTCCTCTCGTTTCTGGGAGGCGGAGAGAGGTGGTCGGTGCCCGGCTGTAGGCGTTCCCTGTAGCATCCTAAGGCCGTGGTCGGCAAACTGCGGCTCGCGAGCCACAGGTGGCTCTTGGGCCCCTTGAGTGTGGCTCTTCCACAAAACACCACGGCCTGGGCGAGTCTATGTTGAAGACGTGGCGTTAGAAGAAGTTTAAGTTTAAAAAATGTGGCTCTCCGAAGAAATGTCCATCGTTGTCCTGTGGATAGTTGGCTCTGGGCTAATGAGTTTGCCGACCACTGGCCTAGGGTCTCCCCTGCAGCAGTCCAGGTCTCGCTCGGATCCTATTTCATCTCAGTCTTTCTTTTCTGAGTTGGGGTCCCCCCATAACCACTGGACTTCCGGGGCGGTGCTCCCCTGACCCCCGCGGAGCAGCCTGGCTTTGCAGGGCGGGCGGAGAGCAAGGCAGGCTTGCTGTCTGCCCCAGAGTTCCATGTCCAGAGTGACCGGAAGTAGCAGGCTAACAGGATAGTTGAGAGAGAGGAGCATCTTCTAGCCTAATCCTTCACTTCAGTGATTCTCTGTATTCTCGCCACACGCTGGCATGCGATGTGGAATAACTGAAGATGTTGATGCCTGGGACCCACTGACCATTCTGTTCCCAGGCTTAGCCACGTTGGCTGTCTGTGTACAAGTCAATATACACGGAGTGGCCAGATTATGATCTCTGAGCGCATAATCATCTGGCCACTCGGTGCCTATCCTATAGAATAAAAGGCTAATATGCAAATTGTCCCCTCGACCAGGAGTTCGACCAGCAGGCAGGCCGACCAACCGCCTATGTCCCCTCCCCTTGGCCAGGCTGGCCGGACCCCACCCATGCACGCATTCATGCACCGGGCCTCTAATAAATATATACACTGAGTGGCCAGATTACTTATGCCTTCAGAGATCATCATCATCTGGCCACTCAGAGTGTATTTCTTTGCTCTCGTAGAATTCATTGACCATTAAGATTACACAGATTATGTGGGGTCTGGTATTTCAGATAGTACTGACGGTCGTCATATACATTGTTTGTTGTTTTTTGTGGCTGCCTCCCTTCCACATTGTATAAGCATTTATTCTGTTTACTAAATCCCCACGAACAGAAAAGGGATTCTCACGAGGCCGTCCGTGGCGTAGTTCTAGTATTAAAGCTCTCGTCCCCTAGTCAGTCGTGACGCCCTGTGGCTGTACATGCTAGGATCCTTTTATTTATTTTTTTACTTTTTTTTTTTTTTTAATACTAGTATTCTTCAATGACTACTATTCCCATTAACTTTTTAAAAAAATATATATTTTATTGATTTTTAAAAAAAATATATTTTTTATTGATTTTATACAGAGAGGAAGGGAGAGAGAGAGAGAGTTAGGAACATCAATGAGAGAGAGTCATTGATCAGCTGCCTCCTGCACACCCCCTACTGGGGATATGCCCGCAACCAAGGTACATGCCCTTGACTGGAATCGAACCCGGGACCCTTCAGTCCCCAAGCCGACGCTCTATCCATTGAGCCAAACTGGTCCTGGCTATTTTATTGATTTTTGTACAGAGAGGAAGGGAGAGAGATAGAGAGCTAGAAACGTCGATGAGAGACAAACATCGACCAGCTGCCTCCTGCACACCCCCCACCGGGGATGTGCCCGCAACCAAGGTACATGCCCTTGACCGGAATCGAACCTGGGACCTTTTCAGTCCACAGACCGACGCTCTGTCCACTGAGCCACACCGGCTTCGGCGCTAGGATCGTTTTAATACTCACGTAGACTTCCACCGTGGCGGTCAACCGAAGTCCTTCATGATGTAGCGAACGTTTGGGCCGCCTGTTCAGTTTGGCATGATGGGTCCTCACGGGTGCTGTCACAGGGCGCCATTGCGGATGGCTGAGGTCTCATTGTGCCTCTCTCTCTCTCTCTCTCTCAGGCATTGTCTTGGGACCACCTGCACCCCCACCCCCTCCTCCACTCCCCCCAGGGCCTGCCCAGGCTCCAGGGGCGCTGCCTCCTCCCCCCGGACCGCCCCCTCCTCCTCCACTGCCAGCCTCGGGGCCTCCGCCTCCCCCTCCGCCACCCCCTCTCCCCAACCAGGCGCCCCCTCCTCCCCCGCCGCCCGCCCCGCCGCTCCCCGCGGCTGGATTCTTTGCGGGATCCGTGTCCTCCGAAGACAATCGCCCGCTGACGGGACTGGCAGCGGCCATCGCTGGAGCAAAGCTTAGGAAAGTGTCACGGGTAAGTGCGACTCCGAATTATCGCATTTGCTTTTGTTTTTTTTGTGTGTGTGTGTGTCTGTCTCGTTCTTTCTCGGTGTCTGAAGGACTGGCTTTCTTGGCGCTCTAATGTTACGACCCCTAGCTTCATTCATTAAAAAAAAAAAAAAAAAATGGAAAGAATTTAAATTGACGGGAAAGTTGTGAGAATCATACAGCTTCTGAGAACTCACTACCCACACTCGCCAGTTAACATCTGTTTCTTTTACTCTTTTCTCTCTGTGTATGTTTTATTTTATATGTACACACACACACACACACACACACATACATACGCATTTTTTTTTTTGTCTGAATTTTAAGTCTGGGATAACCAGGCCCCTATTTCCCTAAATGCCTCACTGAATAAGGACGTTTCCCTACAGGCCCACATGTAATTATCCAAATCCTGTTGTCGCTGGAACACTACAGATCTGTTCCCGTTGTATCTGTTGCCCAGTAATGTCTTCTGCAACAATTTTTTTCTAGCCCGAAACCACTACCCATTTCATGATACTGACTTTTTAAAAAATATATTTTGAGAGAGAGAGAGAGAGAGGGGGGGGGGGGGAGGGAGAGGGAGAGAAACATCAATGATGAGAGAGAATCACGGATCGGCTGCCTCCTACACGCCCCCTACTGGGATCGAGCTTGTAACCCAGGCATGTGCCCTGACCGGAAATCGAACCGTGACCTCCTTCCAGGTTCATAGGTCAACATTCCACCATTGAGCCATGCCGGCCTGGGCGACACTGACATGCCGACAGCGATAAAACCATCCTCCAGTTTGGTTCATCTGATGTATCCTCAGGACTAGATTCAGGTTATGTGTTTTGAGGCAGACTTTTTTTTTTTTTTTTTTTACCACCAAAGTACTATGCCCTTTTTGGCGTATCGCACACATGGATACATGACATGGGTTCCCCACGTTTAGGGTTGTTAACGCCGAGAATGCTTCTGTTGCTCTGTAAGTCCATGCGGTTCACCCCCATGGGTTCTTAAGAAGATTTCAGAATAGATGTTTTATGGAAGTGATTGCTGTGTAGTGTACTGGTTTGAACGTCATAGAACGGTAAAGCGCGGTATTCCTCAACCCAGGAGTTGACCATGCATGTACGTATGTATGTTTCGTTAAGATGGAGGACGCCTCTTTCCCGAGTGGGGGCAGTGCCGTCGGCGTGAATTCGGCCTCATCCAAAGCGGACGCAGGGCGTGGGAACGGACCCCTCCCTCTGGGGGGCAGCGGTTTAATGGAGGAAATGAGTGCCCTGCTGGCCAGGAGGTAAGGGTGCGATTTACTCGCAGTTCAGACAAAAACGTGGACGTGCCCAGAAATGAGAATATTTTCTTAATTTCCTCTCAGATATGTAATTTATCTTGATGCAGTTCTTCCCTTTTGGGAGTAGTTTTTATACTAAGAGATTATTATTATTATTATTATTATTATTTTATAAAAAAGAATCCAATTTACCTTCTTTCTAGGAGGAGGATTGCCGAAAAGGGATCAACCATAGAAGCAGAACAAAAAGAGGACAAAAGTGTAAGTGACTAAAGGACCCTGGAGTGTGGGGCTGAAGCTCAGCTCTTTCAGGAAATCCTGGCAGAGATCGGTGCGAACGTCACGTGAACTTAAGATGGCTTCTTTTTTTTCAGTCTTCAGGCAGTAAAATAGCTTAAACATTTTTAATGACATTCCTAGTAAGATGGGTTGACTTTAACCGGAGTGGTGGGAAAAGCCCTAGGTTCACTTCTGTGGAGTTTGTGTCTTCACCATGGCGATAACGCAAGTGTCCCGCCCCTCCCCTGGCCACTCAGCGCCCGCATATGCAAATTAAGCGACCATCTTTGTTGGGTTCATTTGCATACTCGTTCCTGATTGGCTAGTGGGTGTCGTGCAGGTATGGTCAATTAGCATGTTACTCATTTATTAAGTAGGTGAGCACATGGCTTTTTCAAGGTGGTGGTGGTGGTGGTGGTTTGGGGTTTCGGTTTTGGTTTTTCCTCTGAGGGGGCCCGTTACCTTGCATTTAAAATGAAGGAATAAGACGGCCTCAGCAACATTCTGATGTTTCCCCCCGGGGGAGCCTGCAGTAGGCCATTCGCCGAGCTCCCCTGCCCGGGGCAGCTGGGCGACCTCTGCTTTATCTGCTCGGTGGATTGGTGTTGAACACAGAAGGGAGTGTCGTCGTCCGTCCCCCCCCCAGCCCCCCGATATGCTGGGCCTTCTGTGCGGCCACTCCCCAGCTGGCGGGAGGGCATTGGCTGGTGCAGTTCTCCGGGGGCGCCGGAGGGGCACACTGGTGGGAGCGTAAGAGAAGGGAGAAGATGGACGGAGGGAAAAGGGGGACATGGCAGGAAGAATGGTGGGAACGGAAGGACAAGCACTGACTCAGCCGGCCAGTGTGGGATGCTGCTCATACATGTCTCTGTCTGTCTAGGAGGATGCAGAGCCCGTCATTGCTAAAGCCTCTTCCACAAGTACACCTGGTAAGCCCACCCTTCCCACACGTCCTCTCTCGCGCTCTCTCGCTCTCGCTCTCACTTGCCGTGCCCTCCATTTCCCCAGGGCTGGGTCAGGTGACCGCGTGCCCACGAAAGTGTTAGAATGTCTGTTCACCCTGGAGGTCACGACCTCTTCTCCCCTCCCCCCTCTGCAATGCCCCACGTTTTTCTCTGATGATTCTTTCTTTGAAAAATCATAGTTTTTACATTGTTTTTTTTTAATATAAAATTTTTTTATTGATTTTTCACAGAGAGGAAGGGAGAGGGTTAGAGAGTTAGAAACATGGATGAGAGAGAATCATCGATCCGCTGCCTCCCGCATACCCCCAACTGGGGATGTGCCCACCGCAACCAAGGTACATGCCCTTGACCGGAATCGAACCTGGGACCCTTGAGTCTGCAGGCCGACGCTCTATCCACTGAGCAACACCAGTTTCGGCAGGGAAGTGTTTTTTTGATCGCTGGTTCTTAAAGATTGAGCATGTTAGCCAGCATTAATTGTCATTTCAAAAAACATTCTCCAATTGGGAAGGTGGTCATTTGAACCGTTCATTGGTCTCATGGTGATTATCGAGGAAATAAAACTTTTTATTTGTAAGGCGGGGTCAGGGGGAATTAAAAGCCTTTGGGAAACATTCTTGAATTCAGTGAAATTTTTAAAAATATTTTTTATTGATTTCAAAGAGGAAGGGAGAGAGAAACATCCATGATGAGAGAGAATCTTTGGCTGCCTCCTGCACGCCCCCTACTGGGGATCAAGAGCACAACTGGAGCATGTGCCCTTGGCTGGAATGGAACCCGGGACCTTTCAGTCCTCAATCTTGACTCTCTGTCCACTGAGCCGAGCCAGCTAGGGCATTACACTCTTTCTTGATTTAAAATACTTTGTGCTATTTCTTTCTAATTAAAAATATATTTTGATGATCCTGTCTTTATCAGAGAAAGTTCTTCCCAGCCGGTGTGTGTATAGAATGATAGTATTTTACATATATGTCGGTCTAAGTATATCCTCGAGAAACTCGTCATTCTTGCTCCTCCTTCTCATGTTAAGGTCTGACACGGTTCCAATCGGAACCCTGACAGATTTTGACCGCAGTTCAGCATTAAAACGAAAAGTTTCCTATTCACCTAGATTATTACTCCCCTCACCCGTATAACGGTCTTTAGGACTGTAAGACTTGCTTCGCAAAAACCCTGGGGGCGTGTCGGGTATTGAATACTTTCTCTTCTTTATTTTTAAAGAACCAACAAGGAAACCTTGGGAGAGAACCAATACCATGAACGGGAGCAAGTCCCCTGTGATATCCAGGTATGAGTGTTTCCTGCTTTTACTTTGCGTTTTTATCTAAGAAGAAATGGATGTCTCCATTTTTATTGCAGGAAAAAAAAAAAATGGGACGGTAGGTCTGACATTGTACAGTGGAGCCAGTCTAAATTATCTGAATTCTGCCTCGTCAGGCTGTCTAAAATGTCAGAGAGCTTTTATTCCTCCCATTTAAATTATTTTTTTTTATTTGGAAAGATTCAACACGACAGAAAAGCTGAAAGAGCAGTGAACACCCATTTACCCATCCCCTAAATACACTGTTGTTTATTATTTTTTTAGATGATTTTTTAAAAATGTATTCCTTATTGATTTTTTACAGAGGAAGGGAGAGAGATAGAGAGCTAGAAACATCCATGAGAGAGAGGTACATGGATCAGCTGCCTCCTGCACACCCCCTACTGGGGATGTGCCCGCAACCAAGGCCCATGCCCTTGACCGGAATCGAACCTGGGGGACCTGTGAGTCCGCAGGCCGACGCTCTATCCACTGAGCCGTCCCGGTCTCGGCAAGGTGTAGAATTTATTAAACGGATTCACACGCGAGCGAGACATCTGTTTTTACGTTTCCCCTCCCGCTGGCTGGGCAGCTCAGTGGGAGGGAAAGGAGAGGACAGGGTGGCGTCCCATGGGTGGGCCTCGGTGGGGCTGCCGGCCTCTTGCTGGACGCGACACACCGGTCCCGGGGTGACCTGCCTCGCACCCCGAGAAGGCCGCCTCCTCTCGGCACCTGTCCCCCCACCTTCCTGACAAATGACAGAAAGCCGAGCAGAGGGCACAGGCGTCTGCTTCTGCCCTGATCAGCCCCCCCCCCCCCCCGGCTCCCCCCCTCGCTTTGTCCACGAACACCTTCCCACGATGCCGGGCGGCGGGTGTGTGTGCAGGGGCGTGTGGACGCGCCGCCGTGCGGCTGACCTGCCCCGGGCCTTTCGTTTGTGCAGACCAAAATCCGCACCCTCGTCCCAGCCCAGTGCCAACGGAGTCCAGACCGAGGGGATAGACTACGACCGGCTGAAGCAGGTGGGGCCCGGGCAGCCGGCTTCTTGTGGAGCCCGCTGTTTTCTTAAAGCTGTGTCTGCGTGTGTGTGTGTGTGTGTGTGTGTGTGTGTCTGCGTGTCTGCGTGTGTGTGTGTGACGGATGGTGAATGCGCTCAGAAAGCATGCAGCATTCAGGTATTTTCTGCACATGGAGCCGTGGCACGGACACGCTTGGCGCTTTGCCGATTCTCGTGTTTTGGTGCCGGGGGTTTGCATCAAGTCTCTGCAGGGGTGAGGGGCGGGGGGCATGGGGGGGCGGTTTGGTACCCCTCCCTGCAGAGCATCGCTATGACATGGACATGGAATGGGGTCGCATACACACCCTAACGTGTGTAGAAGCCACGTTAAGTCAGTACAGAGAAACAGAGGACATTTCAAGATTTAAGATTTCAAATGTGCAATCAGGATTGTAAAATGACTGCCCTCGCCGGTGTGGCTGAGTGGGTAGAGTGTTGGTCTGTGGCCTGAAGGGTCCCAGGTTCAATTCTGATCAAGGGCACATACCCGGGCTTGATCCTCAGTGTGGGGAGAGGGGCCGTGCAGGAGGCAGCCGATCAATGATTCTCATCATTGATGTCTCTCTCTCTCTCTCTCTCTCTCTCTCTCTCCATACATACATACATACACACATACACACACATATGTCTCCCTCTCTCAAATCAATAAAAATAATATTAAAAAAAACACACACATAAAACTGCTAATGGGTTACTCTACATTATGTTCTTGCTACTACATCTTTGAAATCTAGTGTCTGTTTTACGTTTCAGGAGCTCGGAGGCTCCTCCACACCTCGGGGTGCCCCGCCCCCAGACCCTCCCTCCCCGGAGGCGAGACTGAAAGCCTTTCTAGAGATGGTCTGAGTCACATCTGCCATGGGGCGAGGGAGGGATCATTTTTGTTCTAGAAAGCACTCTGTCTCGTCTCTTGCGAGGCGGGAATAAGCAGGAAGGTTGGGCGAGGGAGGCCATTCAGACAGAACGTCCTTGAGGCTGCTCTGCCAGCACCGGACTGTACATCCTTCAGATCTTAGGTGCGCAAGGATCGTCCGGGCACTCACTCACTTTCTGTCTCCCTGGTGTGTTTCTCTGCCGTTTCAGGACATTTTAGATGAAATGAGGAAAGAATTAACCAAGCTAAAAGAGGAGCTCATTGATGGTGAGTGTCTGAACACGTCCCCCACGCCTACGGGGCCCCCTTCAAGAACAGCGCGCTTTAAGAGAATGCAAAGAAATCAATAACATTTGAAAAAAATAATAATAGATTTAAAAAAAGAGAGAGAATGCAAAGACAGAAACAGGCCCGTTGGTTACTTGAGGGCGTAGCACAGTTCCTTTTGCGTGGTCTCCTGCCCTCCACATGGCTTGTAGGAGGCCCGCCCTCTTTCTTGGAATGGAGGGAAACCTAGGGATGCACGATTTCCCTCCGGCTCAGGCGTCGGGAAGCAATGGCCGGGGAGCTGGGCGGTGAGTCTGTCTCTGAGTTGCCCTGCTGAGCCCACAGAACAAGTGCCTTCCTCCGGCCTCTGAAAGGGAGGGAATCAGTCCGTACCCATCTGTGGACATGGGTATCGTCTTTGCACTCAGCAAGGACAAAGACCCCTGCCACGAAGCACGCTCGATCCGTGCGTCCTTCCATTCCTGGGAGGTCGAGCGCCGACGTTGACCTTTCTTAAGATCGAGCCACTTGCCGAAACCAGTGTGGCTCAGTGGGTAGAGCGTCGGTCTGCGGACTGAAAGGTCCCAGGTTCGATTCCGGTCACGGGCATGTACATTGGTTGCGGGCACATCCCTGGTAGGGGGCGTGCAAGAGACAGCTGGTCGATGTTTCTCTCTCGTCGACGTTTCTAGCTCTCTATCCCTCTCTCCTCCGCTCTGTAAAAACTCAATAAAATATATTAAAAAAAAAAAAAAAAGATCGAGCCATTTGTTTTGGTGTGTTTTTAAAAAAATATATATATATTTTATTGATTTTTTTTTTTTTTACAAAGAGGAAGAGAGGGGGACAGAGAGCCAGAAACATCGATGAGAGAGAAACACTGATGAGAGAGAAACATCAGCTGCCTCCTGCACACCCCCTATTGGGGATGTGCCCACAACCAAGGAGCATGCCCTTGACCAGAATTGAACCTGGGACCTTTCAGTCTGCAGGCTGACTCTCTATCCACTGAGCCATAGTGATTTCAGCTTGTTTTTTTTTGTTTTTTGTTTTGTTTTTAACCGTACTCTTTCGTTTATGTTGGATCCTTTTTCTTTCCCTACTCAGCAATCAGGCAGGAACTGAGCAAGTCCCACACCGCATAGAGACGCAGCCCGAGGAGAGGAGAGGACTTCCATCCGGAGGGGGGACACGCGCCACCCACAGCAGCTGCTGACCACACACCTTCCTCCGTGAGAAGGAGGCGGCGGAGACGGTCGGAAGGGAAGGCAAGGGGGGAAGAAAAAACCCCCAGACCTACTCTGGACGCCTCCAGACAGGGTCCCTCCGGCGCCACGCTGTTCCTCTCCCCGTGTGCTGCTTCACTCTGACTCTTTCGACGGGACGGACGGACGGGCCTGGGACGCCCCCGGGGCCATCGGCACAGAAAACGCAAAGCCCCCGGCAGGCAGGCAGGCAGGCGGGGTCGCCGCGCAGGGAGATAGTCTCCACGTCAGGATCGGATCTCGCGTTCCCACAACCCACAGCTACCACATCAAGAGCGAGGCTTGCGAAGTTGTTTTTGTTTTTTTGCTTTTTTTTTTTTTGCTCAGAGTTTCTGACGAAGAATCCGGCAGGTCATGCTATTGTACGTGTTTCTCTCAGGTTCGTCTTCCCATCATCCTAGCCCCCCACCATCCCCCGCGAATGTCGGGGAGTGAGCCCCCCCCCCCCGTGGAGGGAATCACCCTCCGGTGTGGGGGCAGACCGAAACGGGGTGATGTTTCCACGGAAGCGCCCTCCAAACCGCTCATCCCGGCCGGAGGAATGTTCTAGAATGGTGGGAAGCCTCTCTCGAGCTAGCCTTCACGCAGTTTTGTAGATTTCGAAAAGAACCCCACGATTCGCCCAGAATTGGAAAGACGCAGATGCCTTCTTCAATCGTTAACGATGCTTTACCAAATCGATGGATGCAGCCGTCACGTGTGTCACGGACGTATCGTAGATCTCCCGTAGGTTTGCGACCGCCTTTTGTAGACTGACTTCTGCATGCGGACGTTTTTATAATGTCCCGACAAACCACCACCCAACGAGCTTTTTCTAAAAAAAAAACAAACACAAAAAACAAAACACGGCCCCAGACACGAATGCATGCACTCCTCCGTGTCGTGGCCTCTTCCAGGCCTCGTCGCGGGGGAAAAATCCATTTTGTAGCATCTAGGGGGGAGGGGGAGAGGGAGGGAGGGGAGGAATAATTTTTTAATTTAAAGTTCATCTCTGCGCTGTCCTTTTTTTTTTTTTTTTTTTTTTTTTTTCCCTCTCGATTCCCTGCATGACAAGCAATGAGGACTGTGTTATGACTTTCATGGGTAAATACGTCGCAGAAACAAGTCCGCATCACGTCGTCCGCCATGTGTCTGTCTCTCCGGGCTTCCGTCATGTCCATGGCCTGAACCACGAGGATGCAGGGACGCACCCCAGCCCGCGAAGCTGCCTTGGGGATCATGGGATGTTGAATGACGAGCAGTGACCGTGATGGGAGTCGTTGAGTGAAGGGCAGCCACTGAGGAGCTGGGCCTAGTTTTCTTTTCACGAGTGAGACTCAATGAGCTCCTCTGCTTCCCAGCTGTGTGTTAGGGCATTCACATGCGTGTCAGTGCGTGCACACACGTGTTAGGGCGCGCACACACACGTGCGGCTGCAATCCACTCTGTTTTCTTTGGACATTTGTAAGATGAAAATAGGGGAGACATCCTACCTGTTGCAAGGATAGATTTTTATTGTTGTTTTTTTTTTTTTACACACGTAGGAAACCATTCTGTAGGCTCTCCGTCTTGATCCACGCTTGAGTCACGTGCCATATTTGCTTTGGCGTCTTTGGTCACCAGGTTCCCACTGACGTGTCGGAGACATGACCCACCCGCGTCCTAGAGCCTCGTGCATCTCAGTCCACACAGCGCTGGCTGGATGCCGCCGGTTTACAGCGTCCTCACTGCTGAAGGAGGGATTTTTTTTTCCCCCCTCCTTATTGAAATAGTTTTGTTTTCTGTACAGACTTCCTTTTTTTAGGTTACCCTGTGATCGATGCGCTCCCTTAGTCCGAGGGCACCGTTCTTTTCTCCTGTCCGCTCTTCCTTGTCCTACGTGCGCAGTCGAGACATTCAGGATGCGAGAAGCTTATTGCCCAGGACTGTTTTTCTTAAAGCAGCGGGAGGCGTTTTCCTCTCTTATTAGCGTACTTTTTGGTTATGTAAACCCACGTCAGCTCAGTCTAGGCGTTGATGTCCCCTGTCAACCTGATCAGAGGTAACTTCCGGTTTTGACGGTTTACGTTCACTAGTCTGCAGTAGGGTACGTGTGGGTACGTGTGGTCCAAAGGAAGATAAGAGACTCTAAGACGATGCTAGACCTGAGAAGGAAGCTGGTGTACGCATTCAAACGCTCTGTGCCTTGGAGTGCCGTGAACACGACGTGTGTCTAAACACGACAGAAAGAACCAGTGTTGGGCCATGTTTTCTGTATCCCATCATGCTGCCTTCTCCCAGCTGGTGTTCTCTCCAAGAAGGGTGATGGGAGTCCCCGGACACGGCTGCCATCCCCCGTGACAGGGGTCATGGTCATGGTCATGGTCATGGTCATGGTCATGGTCCGGGGCGTCTGTGATGGCCCCGGGACTCGGAAGCTGGGGCACGCCGCTGGAGCCATGCTATCCCGAAGGTCCTCCATGCTCGCGCGCGCGCTCTCTCTCTCTCTCTCTCTCTCTCTCTTTTTTTTTTTTTTAATACATTTTATTGATTTTTTTACAGAGAAGAAGAGAGGGATAAAGAGTTAGAAACATCGATGAGAGAGAATCATCGATCAGCTGCCTCTTGCACACACCCCCTACTGGGGATGTGCCCGCAACCTAGGTCCGTGCCCTTGACCGGAATCGAACCTGGGACCTTTCAGTCCGCAGGCCGACGCTCTCTCCACGGAGCCACACCGGTTTCGGCCCTCTGTGCTCTTGTCACGTCGGATGTCTTAAGCAGTTTCAGGGGGGTCCTCTTCTCCCCGCAGGAGGGGGGGCCTGCCTTCCTCAACACTGTGATCTGGTCCGCGCACGCCTGCCGGCGACACTCTGTGGACGGCGAACCAACTGAATGTACACGCCCCTCAGTGCTGGTGCTGAAATCTCTGCAGAACAGCCGCCCTGGTTCCAAAGTCCGTTTTCCGGAAATTTGCAAGCATCATGTTACATGTGTCCATCCGGACCGAAGATGCAACACGGACGAATGTCGGCGTCTCATGCTTTTTTTTTTCCCCCCGGTGTTCGGCTTCCTCTCGCGTGTCCGGCTCTCTGCTGTTTTTGATCATGAGTGTGTCCATTCACGTTTCCCACACCCTAACTTCGATTGTGCGATTGAAATAAAGTTGCAGTCTATATACGTGTTGCTCACCTGTGACCCTTAGGTTCCCCCCGGAAAGGGGTCTCTGTCTGTTGGTTCTAAAGTTTCCTCGAATGTGGAAAACCACTTTTCGGAGTCCGGGGCTGTACCGCGGGAGGTGTGCACCTCACGTCCCTGCTCTTGAAAGGCGTCGTAAAAGTCATCCATACCAAGTCATGATGTAGTTCAATCTGCCCCCTACGTAGTTGGCAGGGCAAAGGGCGTTGTGCAGAGGGAAGGTGGGTGGTGTGTCTCCTTTTTGTTTGAAATGATGAAGTGTTGGCTGTTTCCTGGTTGTGCTTATTTCCTGACGGCCCCGCTGAACACGGAGAAGGGTAAAGAGAATGTCCGTGTGTAATTTCACTCCAATGATGTCCTGTCACGTGGTCAGATACTTAAACTCCGGGGATCGAGACTGGAATCAAACCCAGGACCCTTCAGCCCGCAGGCCGACGCTCTATCCACTGAGCCAAACTGGCTGGGGCAAGAATTGAGATTTTTGTTTTCATATATATTTTTATTGATTTCAGAGAGGAAGGGAGAGATAGAAACACCAATGGTGATAGAGAATCATGGATCGGCTGCCTCCTGCACACCCCTACTGGGGATCCAGCCCGCCACCTCGATATGTGCCCTTGACGGGAATCGAACCTGGGACCTTTCAGTCCGCAGGCTGATGCTCTATCCATTGAGTCAAACCAGCTGGGGCAAGAATTGAGATCCTCATATCTATATGTATAAAAGCCTAAGCCACCAGAGGACAGGTTGGTAGCTATGACACGCAAGGACCACCAGGGGGCAGATGCTGCTTGCTGGTGGTCAGTGCACTTTCACTGCAGGAGTGCTGCTCAGCTGACAGAAGGGCGCCAGACTCTGGGCTCACGGCTGGCGAGGGCACAGCTGCCACCGTACAAGCCTCTCCTGCAGACACTCCCCCAGAGCAGGAGCAGGGCATCACCCAAGCCGCATTCGGGCTTCTCCCCTCCCCCCCCCCACCCCCCGGCCGCCTGCCGCTTGGCACACTTCTTCGTGCTTTGCAGGATCAGCACTGACTGTGGGCTGGAGCCCGTCGAGCTGGCGGGTAAGGCTGGGCCGTGGCAGCGTCCACTGATCCCTGCAGGCCAGGCTGAGGGACCCCACCTGTGCACGAATCCGTGCACCAGGCCTCTGGTATGTCTATCATCCTGGAGGCAGGAGACCTTCCCATTTAGAAGCCCAAAATGGATTACGAAAAAAAAAAATAATAATACTCCCCAGCCTTGGTTGAGCTGCTGACCTAGGAACCAGGAGGTCCCAGTTCGGTTCCGGTCAAGGCATGGGCCCAGGTTGCAGACAACACACTTTGTCCGCCCAGAGGAAAACAGGTCCTTCTTGTCAGGGAGCGTCATCCCCCAGGCTTGCACCCACCCTTTTTAAAAAATTTCTTTATTGATTAAGATATCACATATTTGTCCTCAATCCCCTCCCCACTCATCCCCCCACCCCCCTATCGTCCGTGACCCAGTGCATGATAGGGGGTAGGGGGTGGGAGCATTAGGCTCCTATGGGTGCACACAAGTCCTTTGGTGGATCTCTCCCTTTTATCCCCACCCTCCCTCTGAGGCCCTGACCCAGGGCTCCTTGTCTCCGGGTCTGTTCTTGTTCACCCGTCTATGTTGTTCACCGTTTCCCTTAGATGCGTGAGATCATGTCCTACTGGAAATGTAAGAACCGAGAATGAGACAAGCGGTAATAGTTATGCCGAAAGGCATATGGATCGGTCTGTACTGAGTTTCTCTCGCACCCACCTTTTAAGAAGGGGACGTGGGAGAGGGGGTGAGGGGTGGACCCAGCGTGCTTGGCAGGGTGCAGGGGTGAGAGAGGCACACCGGGGATTTGCACCCACGTCTCAAAGAGGAGGGACTAAAAAGGGGACCCCGTGCAAGAGCAGGCAGCAAGGACGTGCCAGGAAGCAGCAGCCCCGGCGGGCTGCCCAATTCAGTGCCTTCAAAACGATCATCTGTGTGAACTGCATGCAATGTCATGTGACCCATAACGTGTAACCTGGATGTGTGCTCGACCCGTCTTCACGTGTGGAGCTGAGGTTCCGTAGAAAAGGGCCTCCCTGGCCGTGTGGCTGGGTGAGAGTGGATCGGCGAGCTCGCGGGAGTCCTCCTCGGACCCGGGGGCATGCCGGCGTGTGGTATCGGGCCCCGTGTTTGCGTGAAGCGCCCGTGTTGTTGACCTCTGACCCACCGCGCCCTCCCTGTGTCTCTCTCCTCCTCTGCGGCTTCGCTGGGTTTACCTGCTTCCCCCCTTCTGCTGCTCGGTGTCCTTCCTTCCTTTTGAAATAAAGAGATGAAGATAAAACTTCCAGGAGACTTGTTTTTATTCTGCCCGTGACTCTGACCTTACCAAAGATAATACGACATGAAAAAGTAAGTGGCCCTAGCCGGTATGGCGCAGTGGATAGAGCGTTGGCTGGTGGACAGAAGGGTCCTGGGTTCGATTCCGGTCAAGGGCACCTGCCTGGGTTGCAGGCTTGATCCCCAGTAAGGGATGAGCAGGAGGCAGCCGATCCATGATTCTCAGTCATTGTGGATGTTTCTATCTCTCCCTCTCTCTGCCTCTCTGAAATCTATCTATCTATCTATCTATCTATCTATCTATCTATGTCAACAGTTCATAGCTTTGAAATTGCATGCCCTTCTGAGTGTAGGCCACTGAGCACTCTCCCGGTCC